TGGGGAAAAAAAAGAGAGAATGGGTTTTTTGTTTGTTTAAGGTGTGGCAATCATTGGCTCCTGACATTTGCATAGTGCTGGTCCTAGAATATTTAACATTATGCTACTTGATTCAAGATTCTTTGTTATCAGGTTCTCTTGCCAGCACTGAAGTTCTGGAAGTACAAACATAATATCTTTTTAACCAAGAGACATGAGCCCAAGAGTCAATTCTTTTTAACAAGAGACATGAACTTAAGTGTCAGTTCTTCAGATTTTTAGTGCAGTGTTTGTGTTAACAGGATCTGATGAGGCTCTTTCCAGTAAGATAAAAAAAGGAGTCTTAAATCAGAGTTACTTCCAATTTTTAACTAAAGGTCACACAAGGAGTCCATACTTTATCCTTGAGAAAAGCTTTTTGTACTTGTTAGTAATAAACCTGGCTTCAGTGACTTAAGAATTTATAATAATACATTAGATGATTGTGAAAGCTTTGAAGTGTCTTTGTTCTCTCAGTTTTCATTGCTGATGATGGATGGTAAGGACAAAGATGTTTGTAGATGGTGAGCAGCATTGGATGAAACATTGATACTGATATTTATGTTATTCTGAAAGCAAACATTAAGAGTTCCAGATTAGAATCAGACTATTATTAATTACAGAAATGACCACATCAGTTTTCCATACCCCACTCTCAGAAAGATGCAATGAGAGGCCGATGGTTAGCCACCCATACAAAAAGTGGTTTTCTTATACTACAGGAGAGGAATCTGAAATTATGAGTTTATAAAGTGACTAATATACAGCTACACTCCTCTCCCACTTGAAAGAGAGAGAAACTGTAAGTCCCTAATGAAAACAAATCTTCTCCGAGGCAAGAAGAGGAAGGTCCCTAGTTTACAACCACTTTGAATGCGAATGTAAAGGAACAGCCCAGGGATCCAGCCCCCTGTGAAATACAAACCTATGCCTCTGTGCAAAATGCACTAAAAACGTGAAAGAGTAAATGTTTCCAGAGGACAAAAGGAGACAGTCTCTATTTTTAGCATGCCAATTTCCATTGTTCAGGAAGCCAGAACCCTGCAGGAACACTGAAAAATCCAAGGAGAACTACTTCCCCAGTGTCTTGCAAAGCTTTTTATAAAATGTAAAATCATAAAGTGAATGCCTTTGTTAGCAGATAGAGAGATTCCCAAACTAGAGAGCCCACCAAAAGTGTGGATCCTTGCCCACCAGTTGAGGAGGAATTCTCAGCAGAAGCAGAAAGACAAAGTGAAAGACACCTTTATTGCTCAAAAGAGGGAAGGGAAAGAAAGTGTTTGAGTGGGGGAAAAGAGAAGAGAAGTGCTCCAGTGGGGAACTGTTGGCCCAGGTGGCAGGATGAGAGCTATAGCTCAAGGTAGGGGCATGGAGGCTTTTCCTGGAGACTGCTGCCATCATGTCCTCCTTCCAAGTGTGTTGGAGTCAATCACTTTTTCCAGTCCTTGTGCAGGATTTTCTGGCTGTTGTCATGGCAACTGTCAACTGTCCTGGTGCCAGTGGGTGTGTCATTTAGTATGCTAATGCATTATAATGAGGCTCAAGGTCTAATGGAAGTCAAATCCTCTCCCATCTTGGGTCTAGTTGGTTATCACCAGTTTGTTTTTATCTCTTTGCAGCCTTCTCCTGTGACTTAGATAGCAGTAATTGGTTTCTGTTCAAGGTGGGGGCAGGGGTATGATCCTGGGGGCAACAGCCTTGAATTTCTAACAGTTCAAGAGATTACTGAAGGGGAGGCTAAGGAAGAGATCTGGTCATCACACAGTTTACCTTTTTCCCTCTGGTAGCAAGGATAGTGTCTGTAAAACATCTCAGGAATGTGCATCTGATAATGAATCTGTGACTTTATTGTCCTAATTATCAACTGCTTGAGCCTGCTCTTTTATGACTCAGAGAGGCCTGGGTAATTTCATCTTTTCTAAAAACAAGAGGCAGAGGTTTGGGGGGGAGGGGGTGTGTGCCCTGCAGGGTCCTGCTAGGTCTCCCCATTGGTATTGGATATTTAAGTTAGATAACCCAAACTGGACACACAGTATTAAAATTTTGAGTTTGTGTTTTTTTAAGTTATGTTTAGATTGTCATTTTTTTGTTGAGCAAAGCTGCTAGCCATCCAGAAAACAGACAAACAATAATAAGAATGTGTACCTGTTCATTTAAATGGCACCACTGTATAAATTCCATTTGCTGGTGTTCAAACACCTACATCCCACTTTCATAGATATTTGCCAGAATTATGAGGTTGGCAGACGGGACATGTACTAGAGACAGCCTCAGGAATTTTGAGCAAAATTGTCCAACAAATACTGATTTAAGATTGCAGCCAAATTTCTGTTATGGGGAAAACTGAACAGTTTGGGCCAATTAAATATGTTGGCTGATTTGATCACACTGGAAGCAGGTATAAGAGAGTTTATTTAATACTGCTATGGCCCAGTTTTGAGGTCCTGGCTCAGTTTCCCTTTCTGAACAGCTAATTAAGTTCACATTCCCCAACCATTCACCTTACCAGGTTCTCATACTTCAGGCCACAGTATACCTTCCTTGGATTAGATACCATAAAATGAATGATAGCCAATTTGCCCGAGAGCCATCCAAATTATTTAATGAGCCAATCCCCAGGGAACTCATGAAATCTAGCTAATGTCACCCTACTTGCCACATATAAGCTGTCCCTTGAATTCCAACTTGCTGTTATCTTATCCCCA